CACTAAAATGGCATGTATAAAATTGTAAACTGCTGTTGTAGGAAAACCCAAAGAGTCTTATGCACAAGCTCCCAAACTGTCCTATGCATTAGAGCTACTCTTTTTTTTTCATGCAATTTATAATACAGAATCATCTCTAAAATAGATGGTGTCGGCCCAGCCACAGATATACTCAAAGATTTCAAAGCCTGCTTCCAGCCCTTTCCCTTCCCTTATCACCACCACATGCACAGGGAGAGGATCCTCCAGTAAGCCAGTCCAGTAGTTTCCATCCAAGCCCAGCCCAGCCCAGCCCAGCCCCAACAGCCTCAGGCTGCTGAAGTCATTAAGATTTTTATGAACATCTACTAGCCAGATGAGTCCTCATTTCCAAAACGCTTACAATTTTTTCCACTACCGGAAAACTTTCCAAAAGCTGGGTAATAGGCCCCAAATGGTTCTTTCGGCACTAATGTGAACTGGAAACTAAAGAACCGTCCAGCAGGTAATTTGTACAAGTCTCTTAAATCTTGAAAACGAGGCTATTCATTTTCTAATAATAAATCTTTACTGCAGCTAATCTTATCTTCCTTCCACAATAAACTCCTAATTATTACCTTTCCAGCCAGCATATCTGTGATTTTAAAAGTGTGTGACAGCAGTAAAAACAAGCACTGGATCTTAGGACTGAAAAAAGGAAATACTTTAGGTTAGGCATACAGAAGATCCTTGTTTTTTAAGCTCTGAACAACATGATATAACGGAACAAGTTACAAGCTGGGAATGAACTATTCATGCTGGAGAAGTCAAGGACAGGCACCACTGCTCCTGTGCCTGATGGCTCTGGGGAAGCTCCACCTTCTGCTTGATGAGATCAGCACTGCCCAAATGAAAACAAAAGAAGAAAAGTACTTTTTTTTTCCTTCTTTCTTTCTTTCTTTATTTTAACTTAGACTCGGTCAAACCCAGAATCCATTACTGAATACTAAAGGCAAATGAATAAAACATTTTTGCAAATATTTGTCTAAACTCAGAACTTTGCACATCATTAATTATGAGTTTTATCTCTCATTTATACTGGAAGTACCTCAGGGCCGGCAACCCTGTGAGGCCCAAAAGTACCAAGCACAGTGTGTGTAATGGCACAGACCTTTTCTGTATCACTTTCACTCCGCTGAGGCTAAGCAAATTATGGAGGGTATCTGCAAAGCTAATTTTTGAGTTTCAGAATATTTATATCAGCCAAGAAAAAAACAATGTCAGATAAAGTATGTCCTCAAATAAAACTGAAGATCTGAATTTTGAATAGCAGTGACTTGTCTCAGTCAAGCTATAGAAGAAGAAATATTTAGAGAAGTGATCTGAACAACACGTCCATCTAAGAAAAGCAGAAATGTTTGCAGGGAATCTGTAAAAAGAAAAGGAGACCAAAACTGATCACTCCAGTTCTTCTGCCATTTTACTGCACCACTTTACAATCCTCTTTTAAACAGTACAACGGATTTAACTGCACTGGTTTTTAAACAGATATATTTACAAACAACACTCAGCTTGTTAAACCAATTATTCCTCACCAATATATGCACTACTCTAATAAGCACTTAATAGTTGTTTGCAGAGTCTGGTGTGGCAATGACCCAAAAAGAAAACAAAATAACCAGAATATCCTGTCCATTCAGAGTAAAATATAAAATCATCAGTCCCTTTGGCCTTGATTATTTGGAAGTTCCCAGATATTCCTTGCCCTTCTGCAAGGTGTGGATAGAAGTAACCCCACACCTTTCCCTGCCTGTTTACCTACTAAGGGGCAATCTAGCTCTCAGGTTTTGTCACCAAAGCTATGATGATGACAAAGGAATATAATACTTAACAAAAAAAAAAAAGTCTGAGCCCATCTCATGTAACAATGCTTTAGGTATATTAGGGCAAATGAACTTTATGAATAAAAGCTTTATTCTTCATAGGAAAAAATATTATACTGTTATTTCTTTTCCTGTGAATACATTTTTTTCAGGCAAAATATATATTCTGAGTCACCATTAAAAAGACATCTTTTAACTTACCTGCTTGGTAAGTTAAATTCATTTACTTCTTCTATTTATTTCTACAAAATTTCTTTGTCCTTCACATTTGATGGACGAAATACAGAGGTATGTCTCCTTAGTCCTTCTTCGCACCCTGTTTCCTCCCTGGAACCTTACGTACCTTTCCCACATAAATCAGAGTTTCATGACATTGAAATACAGTTCCTTAAACTTTCAACAAATTTGATACGGCTTTCGTCTCTGGGCCCAGAACAGTCCCCAAATTCCCAGTATTATTCAATCTAGTTGAAATCTTCCTGTTTCTTAGATAACACTAACAATTTGAGCTGAGTGTTGCTTTCATTTTTAGAATAAGACCTGCCCATTAAGAAGCCAGCGCCTGCTTTTCTAGGTTATTGTTTCTAGTCTACGCATTTTTTTCTCACAAACACAAGTTTGTAATTTTAGCCTCTGATGGAGCTTGTCATTTGCATTTTAATAATTTTGCTCACTCCGCTTTTCACAAATACTACTCTTTTGAGATTCCTACATGCTCCAATTGTAAAAAATTACCAGGAAGCTGCTTGACTTCATAGTGCCTTTTGCTCCAGATAGTCTCAAGAAATGCTGTACAAACATCAGGATGCCTATGAAACAGATGCTAAATATATTTCAATGTATCAGTCCATGGGGCAAAGTATGGCACTGAGAAATTAAAGCAAAAATGTTCAGACACGGAAAGTAAAGCTGTAGCAAGGTACTGAAATAATCAGGAACTGCATATGCAGTACCTCAAAATTTCCTTGAAAAATTAGAAACTTGAATAAGAACAATAAAGTTCTCGACAGGAACCTTATCCTTAGCAATTAGGATTAGAAATGCTGCCCAAATTGACATTCAAGAAATCAGTAAGTGGATAAAATCAAGCAGTTCTGCCTTGCAATCCTATTCTTTAATCTTCAGGCAAATGCTCTCCAGCCATCCCTGCATTATTTTTATTAGCTGTCTTTGGCTTTTTTAAGCACGTTGTTTCTGCTGAGCTTATCTGCAAAGGAGTAGCTCCAAAGTAAGCAAACAGCAACGAGGAAATAAATAAATAATCCCAGGGAAGGAGACTTTCTGGGCCTGTGTAGCTGAACCACTGACTTATTGTCTCTGCCCTCACCACACACCCCCCTTCAGTCGGTCGTTCCTTTTTCTAAACAAATAATTTATTTTTAAAATTTGGGAAGGCCTAACCAGCATTAATAGCCTTACAATTCTTAGTAAAAAAGGGAAAGCTATTTTACAGTTATATGAAAACAAACAGCATCTGAAATGAGCATGTTGTATTTGTTTTCACTACCAGTTGGGGGGGGTGGGGGGAGAAAAAATAAAGACAGCTGTTAATCCATTTTAGTAGAAGTGGAAAAAATCCTGGGGACTTTCTAAGCCTAATTTCAGCCTAGAGTGATTTTTATGGCCAAACAATGAATCCTTAGAATAATTGGTTCATATCATGAATACACAACAAACTCTGAACCCAAGGCCTGATCCAATTTCCAGGGTAATCGGTAGGAATACCCCCTTTGACTTCGGTGACAGTAACAATGTACGGTATCATTAAAAATAAAAAATCTTTACAAATGGGTTCGGGGTGAATACAGACCAGTTGTTTGTTGATGCTGCACAAGCTCTAGAAGTGGTTTTGCAGCATTACATGTGACTTATATCGATGCACACAAATCAATATAAATCGTGGGCGAAAAAAGCACCATCACTTAGAGAGGTACTAAATTTCCAGACCACGGTATTCAGATTATGATTATTTATTGCCATTGTACGGAGATGAAAGGCTGTGGCGTTCCTTCCAGTTTCATTGCTTCGTGCCAGCTGAATTCTGCGAGAGGGATGGTGTTAGAAATGGAAGGCTACAGTAATGTTAACTATGCTGTTTCCCTCCAACATCCATTTTGTTCCAAAGAAACACTTGCCAGAGATTAAAATATTCAAGATGGCTGTTTTCTGCACCCTTTCTGCGAGCTCTACAGTTTTTCGCGTTCCACGTATTCCGGGTCCCCGTCTTTCATTCAGGCTGCGGCTATTTCCTTCCCCACCGCCCCTGCCTCCCAAGTCACTCCAGACTGGCGAAACTTCAAAGGGGGTTGCTTAAAAACTGCCCCCGTTTCCAGCCCGGACCCCGACGCGGCCCTCCGGACGCCGGTCCGGCCGGATGCCTCTCCCGCACCGCGACTCGCCGGGCGAGGAGGATGCGCCGCCGCCGCCGGAGCG